ACGTGCGCAAGGACATGTATGTGTTAGAACATTCTAGTGAAAAGGACTTCATATTGTTTCGTGGATAAGGCAAGAGCTGTGTGGTATATCTTTGTGTGCATGTGATCATTTAAAGGCCAAGATTATTTAGTAGCCCAAGGTTTTGAAGCTATGATTTTCCCAAGATAGCCCATGGTTTTGAAGGCAATAACAACCCTCTTCTGCACATTTGACCCATTGTTTTGTAATGTTCCTAAGTTTCTACAAGCAGTGGATATAGTTTCTTTTTTTTTTTTTTTTTTTTTTTTTGAATTTTTGGAAATTTTGGTTTATTTGTCCTGCTAGGTTACCAAAATAAAGAAATAAAAAGGAATTTCAATTAACGCAAAATAATAAGAAAAAACGAGTATGCCATTTTCCGTGAACGCATGCCATCTATTTGGCAGATAACAGATCTAATCCTGCAAAAATTGAAAATCACAATTTCTAAAAAAGTTATTATTTTTTGAGATTTCCTGAGAAATATAAAAATCCTCAATGGGATTTAACCAACGGGCATATCTTTTTCATGTGAAATATAAAAGGCCATTGTTTTATAGAATCTTTTTCTTTCCATGAAACAAATTTTTCTACCAATTGTGAGCAGTTAGTGCAATTTATTAAAGTTTGGCATTGATATTTTTGTGTCTATAAAAAGGGAACCTTGGGCTATAAGCAAGAAATATATATATGAACTCACAAAGCCTCGGGAACAAAATATTTATGAGAGAACCCGTGATATCTTCCTCGTGGTTGGGAACAGTAGATAGTGGATAGTCCACTCTTTCATTTTTAATGGACAAATTCAATGTTATCACATGTGTCAGCGAGAGATGATAAAATAGGGAAATATGAATTATTGAAGGGTGCAGTTTGCATAACTTTAACTAAGTAACGTGCACCTCCAAATTTTATAATAAGATGTAATTTTGATATAAAAAGTTATTAAGATGCTCTTAGAGTCCATTCTCATTTTTAATTATAAAATTTTAAACTCAAAACATGCTTCAAATCAAGTAAATCTACAAACACATGAATATCTTAAAAATCGACGGTCAAAATAATGTATTGTAAAATGTATTATTTTTAAGACTTGATTTTTTTTTTTTTCAATATTCATACATCTCCATGTGGAAATGATCTCCATGTGGAAATGATCAATTGGAGAGTTTTCCAACATCAAAACCATGGATTTTTGAGATGCACTTAAATTCTACATTTTAAAATTACAATTCATATAAACTTTTTCCATTATTAAATGCAAGAAAATGAAGCGAAGTGGCTTCTTCCAACGAGGAGAGAGAGAGAGTATTAAAAAACTCACCAACCAACCAAAAAGCAAGAAGCTATTAAGCAAGATTCGTTTTCAACATTTCATGCTGTTTTTTTCATTCATTAAATGAACTTCACATGTGACGGCTAGCTTGTGATAAGGATATGACCTTTTGTATCAAAACTCAAAAGTGATGGATCTTATTATCTATTTTGCTTATATTTATTTTTGGTTGGTGTTTCAAAAATTGCGGATTTGGATCAAAATCCGCTGAGTTAAGACTGGAATCGAGAATCTGACGATTCGGGCCAAAAAACCCTTTTTTCATTTTTTTATATTCTATATTTTTATTTATTTTCAAACTTTAGCCGGATCCAACTTATGAATCATCCATTAATCGGACTTGAGAATCCTGCAAGTCAACGAAAGGAACCGGAATTACACCCTTCCCGATTCGGAGCCCGATTTTAATTTGTGAAACATGGGTCCTACACATTAACCACATTAATCCATAAGTTCTTGGTGCATTATAGTTGAACAGTTGAGCATACTTATGCAAGACTAAAAGAATATGACCATATGAAATGAATAACATGGAAGGTAAAACTAGAATGTAGAAAGATGAGAGAGATTGCCTTTGTTAATAGAACAGGAGAAGAGCCACTATCTACCCAGGTCAAAAGGTTCAAGAGACGAGCATTTCCTCTAACCTCTCTTCACTCCCGCGGACAAAACTCATTTCATAAGTATTTTTAAAGTGATTGTCTGGATATAAAGTGACCATTTACTTTTAGTAGAAGGAGGTCTCAATTATTTTTGTCTATCAAATTTCAAATCAGATGTTTGTAAGTAAACTTGTTACTAAACTCAAAGCTTAGCAAAAAATTTATTGAACGTCATGACACACCCCAAACCATCCAATTAAATATCTAATAGCTAGGATTAATTGTGACCTCCTTGTACTAAAGATAGATGGTCTCATAATATACAATCCCTTTATCTTTTATACATGGAGGTTGCAATCATTCACTCTCATTAGATGTCAAATTGGATGCGTCACGAAGTCCGTAAAACTTTTTTTTATAACTTTGTGTTTATTCAATAACACTCACTATACTCATATTTTCTTCTAAATATTAGGATATTATGGGAAATATAAATTGACTTTATTGGGAAGCAAGAAAGTGATATATTTATAAGAGAGTGAATGATGACATAATACCCATCATTTGAGGGTCACCCCTTTGGAAATGGATATCCACTATGGAGATGAGTTTCCAAAAGAGAGAGACATGACATTCGAAAGAGAAGCAGTATTTCCATGAGTTTTGGGTTGGTTAACTTTCACTTTTGGAGAAAAAACATCTTTCCGTTGTTCTTAAAGGTATCATTTTAGTAGCGGTATTACGGTGGGAAAGAAGATGTTGATCGACGGTGTTGTTCAGTCGGAAAAGCGGGTTTAGAAGGGAAGATCGGTGATGGTTTTTTACCGATGTTTAGAGATGGGTATTATCTCTTGTAACCCAAACGGTAATCTTCATTGTGATAGTGGATTTTTAGTTGCCGAGGCCATGGATGTAGCCCTATGGGGTGAATCACATAAATCTTGTGTTGTTGTGGTGTGCTTTCTTTGTGTTTGCTTTATTTCTTACACTCGATTTATAGTTGTATTCATCTACTTCATATTTAACTAATCATGTACACGATCTTGGGTGGGATCCAAGTGTTTGAGATTCCCGGTTCCGCAAGTAAGGAGTTCTCAAGAACCCCTACAAATTGGTATCAGAGCCTACCTGGTTATTCTGCTTTCTGGGGTTTGCTACCACGATGACATGAAAGGGATCAAACATCAAGTATGACATTGAGAAGTTCAATGGAAAGAATAACTTGACTCTTTGGCGACAAAGGATCTTCTGATACAACAAGGTCTGGCTAAAGCTTTGTTAGGAAAATTGAAGAAATCAGCAAATATGGACGATGAAGCGCGGTAAGAGATTGAGGAAAAGGAGGGTAAGTGCGATTCGTCTGAATCTATCAAATGACACATTGCGTTATATGTTGGACCTTGAAACTGCTCCGGAGGTTTGGACAAAACTCGAGAGTATTTACATGACGAAATCTCTAACGAACAAGTTGTTCTTGAAGAAGCAGTTGTATTCTCTTCAGATGGAAGAAGGCACAGATCTGCTTGAACATCTCAGCGAGTTCAACCATATCATAAGCTAGTTAGCAAGCCTTATGGTTGAAATCGATGATGAAAACAAGGCCCTACTTTTGTTGGCTTGGCTTCTAAGATCATACGATCACTTGGTTACGACTCTACTGTATGGGAAGGAGACTCTTGAGGCAGACGAAGTCACTGCTACTTTTTTTATCAAACGAAACAAGGAATAAGACTAGCAGTATTAAATCTCAAGGAGAAGGTTTCTTTGGAAAACACAAAGAGAGTCATGCAAATGAGGCGATGTAGTTGAATGATTTGGTTCGTGAGTTGGGGTTAGAGCAAGAAGGCACTGTGTTGTATTGTGATAGTCAGAGTACCATAAATCTTGTAAAGAATCAAGTGTTACATATAATGACAAAGCACATTGATGTGAGGTTTCACAAGATCAGGGAGCTTGTGTCAAAATGAATCATTCACTTGAAGAAAATTCATACGAATGATAACCCTAGATGCAAGTATGAATAAATCAAGAAATCTATTCAATGAAGGTTGTCAAGGCAATTGCGGTGATTTTGCTATCAAGGTAGAGATTGTTGGGTTTGGTGATAGCCAAATCACTATACCCATATTTTCTTCTAAATATTAGGGTATTATGGAAAATAGAAAATTAACTTTTTTGGAAAGCAAGAAAGTGATATCTTTATAAAAAAGTGAAAGATGACATAATACCCATCATTTGAGGGTCACCCCTTTGGGGGTTATGGGAATGGATCTTTAATATGGAGATGGGTCTCCAAAAGAGATAGACATGGCTTTTGAAAGAGTGGCGGTATTCTCATGAGTTTTGGGTTGGTTAACTTTCACTTTTGGAGAGAGAAAGTCTCTTGGTTGCTCTCAAGGTTATTTTTTCGACAGCGGTATTGCAGTGGAAAGAGGATGTTGATCGACGGTGTTGTTCGGTTGGGAGAGCGGGTTTAGAAGGGAAGCTCGGTGATGGTCTTTTACTGATATTTAGAGATATATATTATCTCTTGTAACCCAAACTGTAATCTTCATTGTGATAGTGGATTTCTAATTGCCAAGGACGTGGATGACGCCACCCATTTTAAAATTCAAGAGACAAAATGATTGTGATTTCCATGTATAAAAATATACATGGTCTCTTTGTAGGCAATCCCATTTTTAAATATGGGGATTTAACTTCTTCAACTCTCCAGCCAACTTATAAGAAAGAAAAAAATAAAATAAAAATAAAATAACATCTTCTATGTGTTTGAAAAGTAATAACTTCCTACGATTGAGCAAAGATAGGTCAATTTTTGGATGCTCACATTTGTATGTTTGACAACTCAAGGTACTAAATTATTTTGGAAATAATCATCTGGTGATTTTCAAGTGAATCTAAACTTGACATCAAAATAACCTTCCTATGTAACTCTTTTGCTTGGGAGCCAGTGTACAATATGCTCCTGCAAGAGCATGCTGGACATGCTCTTTATCCAAACTATGAATCATGTGTATTATACATCCATCCATAGGCAGGTATGCACCATTGTTGAGATGAATTTTATACAGATGCTAGAATATTAGAACACTGCTTGTACATCTTTTTCAAAGCTTTTTCCAACTAATTGGGCAATATTTCTATTACAAAATTTACAAAGAACAAGGAGATGACCCCAACAATATCGACTGGCTTGATTACTTAGGGAAATTTGAAAGTTTTTGCTTGCTAGGAGCTGAATCATGATAATAGTTTATTCCCCCAAGGCATTTAAAATTGTAGTTTCTTGATTTTCCATTGTGAGGGATCTATATTGGGGTTCTTTTCACTTGACAAGCTCTTCTGTCTTCTTGCCTGCTTCTTCTAGCTCTCGTAGCCCTCCAACCTTCTGTTCAATCTCCTCGATCAGTTCCTCTCTCCATAGCTCTGCTCTTGCCTCTGCCTCCATATCTTCTTGCTGCCAAATGTTTGTCGTTCACATGATGCATTTGACTAGTATACAAAATGGAATTCAACCAAAGAGGCTCAAATGTAAATGTTGATACTAGATACCGTACTTTGAGTCCGTACCGTATCGATAGGGGTGTAAACAGGTTGCGTCAGGTCTGGGTCGATCGTGACATCCAGGTCAAATTGGCCCATACCTAACCCCTCAGATCATATATCTATGTCTGGACCCAACTCGGGTCGACTTGTCAAGTGGGAGCCCGATGATCACCCCAAAGTGTTGATGTACTCTTACATTACAGTATTGCCTATAGTTCATGAGTAGCAAAGTTGAGTAACTTTGCCCATCAAAATAGTGGGTGGCTATAATGGTGGACAACAATTCATCACCTACTGACAATGGATAAACATCGATGGTAGATTGGTGGTATAATGTGAACTCGTGCACGTTTAGTGATGTACTCAATTTTTGTGAGGGTTTATACCATGTGCTAGCATTTGAGTTTCAAATAGCATGCTAGTGCCTTCAACCAGTGATTGAGCAATGATAAAGTACGTGTGGTGATTTGTGGTTTCTATAAGGTTGCAACCTCAAACAATCCAATTAAGGCGCACCTCCAAATTTATCATAACATATAATTTTGGTGTAAAAAATCCTTAGGATCATCGAAAAATATATTTGTATATCTAATTATAAAATTGTTTTTCATATTCATTAATCTCGATTAAAACAATCTTTTCTGATGGGTTTTTGATGCGTATCTGCAATTCTACATTTTTAAGTTGCAACCTTATATAAACTTTTTCCATTATAATTTCCTAAAATCTATATCTAGAGAGAAAGATCTGGAGGCTGTACCTTATCATAAATCCAATGGCCTGTCCCATCTCCACCATCTTTTCTATATTGTTCACCATCATAGAATGGATCCTTGCATAAATCACCATCATTTATTGAGAAGCTTAAGAAAAACTCATAAATTCAAAAGAATCAAAATGAAAATCTCTTACTTTTGTTGAGCCAAAGACACAACAGCCCCAAACGGTGAACATGATGTAAAAAGCATCTGAAACATGTTTTGAAACATGAGAGAGAGAGACTTAAATCGCGAGTAATTTGCAAAGGATGATGTAATAAAATTATTACTGATTCTAAAAAATAAGGAAAAAAAAAGAGAGAGACTTAAAACACGATTGCGAGCACTTACAAACATTCTTGATTGCGGTATCGCTAAGATGCCAAATGGTCTTATTGGTAATAAACTCAATATCTCTTTGGCTGTCCACATGCTGAACCAGAACTGCAATGAGGTTCAGGTGTGGCCAATCTGGGAAAGCATGAGTCATTACTAGCTCTCTCTTTTTCTTCTTCATTTCAACCTGCATTCCTCTAGGCAAAGTCATAATCCTCACCTTAGACAACACATATATTCAAGAGAGAGAGAAAGAGAGGGAGAGGTAGGACACAAGCACCTCTCTCGAGGTTACTCATCTTAGCATAGTTATCAAGATCTGATGGGACTGGCTGAGCTAACTAATTAGATTGCTGATCAAAGCATAGGCCGGTCTATATTTTAAAGCAAAAACCATGTTTGTTTGAAAAATAACTCAAATTCAATGTTTGTTTAGTTTTGAGAGGTGGATAGTTTGGTTTTGACTAATTAAATAAGCTAAATAAAGTTGAGCAATTTTTTTATGGCAATATTTTGCATACTTTCAAACTATTGTTAATTTATTATTTACTTTATTAAATCTAGTCCTAATTCAACTGATGGTCAGACTAGGTTTCACTGGATTAGACCCCCTCTCCGGTTAAATGCTAGTCTGATCTTGATAACTTTGCATGCTAATAGTAAATACTCTTACCCAAATACACCTAACTTCAAAACTTTTTTTTCTTTTTTTTAATTACGATAAAAGAGAGAAATATTGGGTGAGAGAGAACCTGGAAACCGCCCATGTTGCCCCATGAAAAGCTTGAACTTCCATGAAATGACTGTAAAAGAGAGACCTCTATCTTAACATGAAATAGAGAGATAAGCCAAGATTACAAAGAAAAAGTTGCTCCTGAAAATACCATATCGGGAAAGTCGTTAGCGTAAGAAATCCCATTGTGGAGAGGCATGTGATGAAGTCCAGTTCTCGGCATGGTGAAACCCATGATAGTGTTTGCCATTTTGGATTGAGGGGTTTGGTTTTCTTATTTATTCGACTTTTCCATCTTCTTTGAAATGGAAGAGTGGCGTAGAATGATAAAATAAGAGGATAAGGAGATAGTGGTTTATAGAGTTCCATGAGGACTCACAAGAAACAAATCATTATTTTCGAAGGAAAAAGTATATCGTACACCAATGGTGCACATCCGTGTTAAACAAACCGGCCGGATTGAACAAGTTCCGGCGGAACTGGCCCATGGTGGGTCTGGTCTGGTCAGTTCTGAAAGCAATTCACATTTTTTTTTTTTTTTTAAAATATCTCCTTATCTTTTAATTTTAACTTCTTTATCTCTTTGGACCCAAAGATAAAGAATATTATTTTGAAAATATTACTTTGGAAGCAAAGGACTTTCATTTTTTCAATCTTGTAACCCCTTTAAACGTTTTAAAATAAACTTTTGACCCTAATAAAATTTAAAATGACATCTTATATGGCAAATGCTTTGTTTGTGGTTTTATTTAGAGAGAGAGAGGGAGGTTGCAGATGGGTGCTTGTAAATGGGCTGGAGAGCGAGAGAGATTGAGAGAAGAAGGAACGTGGGCAATATGAGACAAATTAAAATAGAGAGGGAGAGATTGCTATTGGGATTCTAGAGAGGAAGAGCAGCAAGGTGGGGCGGAGAAGTACAGGGAGGTGGCTCAAGAAGGTCGGGGCGTCAGAAGAGGGTAAGGGAAAGAGGAGAAAAGGTGGTTTGAGATGGTGGCAGCGGTCTCAGGTTGCCGCCTATTTGCGGGTGGTGGGAAGGCCGAGAGAGGGAGAAAGCATGGCAGGTAGCTGCCGTGTGGGCAGAGGACAAGGAGAGGAAAGATGGAGCGAGGTAGAAAAGGGGTGGCGGCCTCTAGTTGCCGCCTGTTTTGGGCATAGACAAAAGAAGAGGGGGAGTGGGACGAGGTGGCGGCCTCAGGTTGCAGGTAAGAAGGAGATAGGGGAAATACGGTGGGGGCGAGATGTGGAGATTGCAGCAGGGCAGCAGATAGAGAGAGACAGGGTTGCAGTAGAGAGAGAGGGGCAGGCGTGGTGAGGAAGAGAACGAGAGAGACAGGGAGGATGTCGGGGAGACTATGTTGCGTGTTTTCTAGAGAGAGAAACGGTGGTGAGGTGATATGGGAGAGTAGGGTGGAGAGAGGAGGCGAAAATGGTGGCTGACTGGTTGCAGGGAGGCGAAAGGGGAATTAAGGTGGTGGGGTGGAGAAGATGAGGACAGAGGAGGGGCTGAGTGAGGATAGCAACCTCGTCGCAGGCGGCAGAGAAGGTCGGTAGTGATGGTGGGGTAAAGGTCGACAACGGGGTGATGGTGGCATCTTAATTTTTACGGGGGTAAAAAATTCATCGCAAAATGGAGTCAAGGGGTTGTACGAAAAAGGAAGTCTTTTGCTTTCAAGTAATATTTTTTATTTTTAAATCCAAAGAGATAGAGAAGTTAAAATTAAAGAGTGAAGGGATATATATATATTTTTTTAATATAAAAAGTAAAAATTTATTTGTAATGTGATTTATATATTGGAAAATTGTTTCATGTAAGCTATACCACATTTCTATATATGCTGTTCAGAAAGTGTAAAGCATCCATCTTAAAGATGGATGCAGGTAGGTGTTCCCTTTAAAAACAATGAAAACTAACAGTCCAAATGTTTTTTTACTAGAATTATTATTTCTACTTTTTAAAATTATTTATTTATTCATATTCATGATTTCCATGTTAGAGATTACACGTTGTTAAAAATTAAGTCTCAAAATCAATCTCAAAAAAAATTTATTTAGAGGCCCGCATTTCTCGATATGTGGGCTTGGTCCATAAAAACCAGGGTCCTTGTATGTTTTCTATCATTATAGAAAAAATTTGAAAGTATTTTGGCCATGGTTATTTTTATATTTTATATTTTTTAGATTATTTTTAAAATACCCCTAGTTATGAATTGAATATCCATAATCTATTTTTCACTACTTTTTAACCTTATTTAGATGTTTTTTTTTGTTTAATTTTACTTTAAACATATTCTTTATAGTTTTTGGATTTTGTTTTGTATTCTTTTTATTTTTTAAACACTTTTTTACCTAACTGGTACTTCCCTGACTCCGGCAGGATACCCGTCGTCGGTCGTGGCCGGGTTCCACGGCCAGGTCGTGCAATCGTAGACCCTTGCACATATACCACACCACCTTAATGTGCTTCTTGGGGAATCATAATGTGCTCCCTCCGAACACCAAATTGGTGCTCCTACCATCTTGAACGCCACTTATTAGGTGCTGGAGGATCTCGAGAAATTTAAGAACTCTCACCACAAAAGTAGTTCGATATGTAATAGAAAGTAAAAGTCATGAGAACTAAAAATGCCCCAAATTCATGGTGATCATGGTTGTAAAGATCGTAGTTGCCAATCTCAGTGCGTTGACCGGTCTGAACTAACGTAAAAATTGAGTTTCATAAAAAATCAATCAAAATCAACATTTTATGAGTTTTGGTTGATTAGACAATTTGATTTTGACTGGTTCAACTGACTGACCAAAAAGAGCATACTTTTAATATCTTGGGTCGATAATCCAGGAAAATAGGGAGATTGAAGAAAATATTGCACATAGAATTAGAGTTGGATGGACGAAGTGGGGATGTTCAACTAGAATTTCATGTGATCACCGCACACCAATAAAGCTGAAGGGTAAGTTCTATAGGATAGCTTGGAGACTAGCTTTGCTCTAAGGAGTTGAATGTTGGGCAGTCAAAAATAATATATCCATAGAATGAATGAGGCGAAATGAGGATGTTAAGATGGATGAGTGGTAGGACAAGAATGGATAAAATTGAAAATAAATACATTCAGAAAAATTTAAGTATAACACCAATAGGTGATAAAATGAGACATAGTAGATTTACGTGGGCTGGCAATGAGTGGTACAAACCCAGTAACAACATATGTTAGGAGGTGCGAGTTAGTTCAAGTGGAAGTAAAAAAGAGTAAAGGGTAGACCTAAAAAGGCATGATTGAAAGTAGTGAGAAAAGATATGAGGACTTATGACCTCAAAGAGAATATGACCTTTAATAGAGCAAAATGTCGGACTATGATTTGTATAGCCAATCCCAATGAGTTACAAAAAAGGTTTGACAATGATGATGAATTGATTAAATAAAATTAAGCAACATGTTTTTAATATATTTATATCTTTAAATTATTATTATTATTTTTGTTGTTGTTATTATTATTATTTTGTTTTTTTGTTTAATTATCATTGTTATTGTTATTAGGGAAAGTGTATATAATGAGATCATTTACCTTTGATACAAGGTGGGCACAGTTAATCTTGATCATTGGATGTGAAATTGGGTGGCTGCAGTTATTTCATTGACCAAACTCAAAGTTCAAATGAAAATTTTTCGAACTTTGTGACATACCCAAGCTATCATATTTCACATCGGATGGTTGTAAGTAATTGTGACCTCCTTATACCAAAGGTAAATGATTTCATTATATACAATCCTTTCTTATTATTATCACTAATTATTTGGGCCGGTGTTTGGACGGGTTTTTGACTGCACAAACCGTCTCACCCATAAGTTAACTCTCTCATCTTACTAACATTGATTGCGACCCTGAAAATAAATCTGGATCATCCGTTTCATGGGGATCTAGACGGTTTTTCTAGCTTCAATCCATGTCAAACTTTCAAGGGGATTGGTAAAATTTTTGTTCTTGCATATCTCAAAACTGATTTTTAAGGCAGGTGGACCACCATTTGCTATCACTTCACAGGGAAGGTTGATGATCCAAGTTGAATGTCCACCTATCGACTGCAGGTATGCCCTAACTACCTAATATCTAATCCAAGAAGCAAAGTGCAAGCGTTCTTATTAGCAAATAAGGCCCTTACGACATTTTTGAACATTGAGGAATCTGAATAATTCAGCTGATATTACTGTAACTAAATTTTTTTAAAGATAAGTCAATACTCTCGTGCATGATGCAACAGCAAAAGGACCCCAAAACAACAAGTGTCTAATGAGGGCTGTATAGTTTTATTTGAAAATGCCATATATCGTATTCCCATGGGAATACATTGTACATTTAATTCCTCAGGCAGAAGGAGGATATTCTAATGTTTTTTTTGTAAGATTGATTTTTGAGCCAAAATATCTCAAGATTTTTATTTATTTATTTATTTTTTAAATTTCGAGGTTACTTTTCTAAGTTGAGAAAATTATAATTACTCATGATCATAAAAAATTCTCTAATCTCTTGCATAAAAAATGATGTTTGGAGTTATTAAAGAGAGAGAGAAATCCTCAAAATATATCCCCCCCACCACTTCATCACCTAATCATCATTCTAGCCACCTAATATTAGTTGGTCATTGATCCCCCACTTGCTCTTCTTGGGATCCTGCTTACTAAAATAAGCAAAGAATGTGGCAGATGGAGATCAATGAATGTTCCATTTGACTCCAAAGATCGCCAAAAAGTGAATTGGAATTGGAGTTGGAGGAGAATAGCTTACCCAGTGAGAAACAGCAAAAACAATTTGGAGTTGGAGGAAAGGCTAGCCAATAAAGGAGACACATATTTATCATTCTCTTTATATTATTGTTTTCAAGTGTGGGCAGGTTCACTCCTAGCTATTACCATGTTTCCTCAACAGTATCTTGAGACCCACTGGATCCCATAGAAACCTAATTTGCATATTTTTGTTCCACAATGTTGGGTTTCAATGTGAAGAAAGTAATCAACCCTTTTTGCCTCAGTCACCAATATAAATTAAATCTTCCATCAATCACCCCATGTCATAGTTTCCTTGAAAAAAATCAATCTCTCTCTCTCTCTCTCTCTCAGGACTGTTTTGTTTTCTTTTGATTTTTGAAAGAAGGGAAGAATGGAGAGAGAAGAGGGGTCCAGAGTGGTGAGAGGTGGCGTGAACAAGGGGATCTCAGTGTTTGATTTCGTTCTTAGGTTGATGGGCTTCATGGGGACTTTGGCAGGTGCAATTGCAATGGGGACTACGGATGAGACACTTCCTTTCTTCACACAGTTCATCCGGTTTAGGGCCAGATACAGTGACCTACCCACCTTTACGTAGGCCCTCGATTTGGTCTTTTTTTTTTTTTAATTACCAACAAAAAAACAAAATACGAATTTTGGGTTAAATTTATGCCAAAGGTCGGTCAACTTGAGATTTTTTATTTTTTTTCAAAATTGGCCCTACCATCCTGAGACGGCAATTTTTTTTTTGAGTTATTTCATAATTGAGTTGTGCCCTAATGTTTGGGGCAGTATCAGTCGTTCCGATGTTAGGATCATCATTAGATAGCCTTCTTTGCCACTCTTTAAAGTGGTTCGAGGTTGCCATCCTCATACCACATTAGCTCATTTGTTTGCTAAGACAAGGTAGTATGAGGATTCAAACCTCAAATTGCTTTTCTCGACTGGGCACTGCCCTATTAACAAAAAAAAAAAGCAAAAAAAATAAATTAACAAGTGGCCCAAGGATGACATCTTTGGACCATCCGAGGATTAAGGGGCAATTTTGAATAAATAAATAAACACACCAACATTCCTCGTAATTTTTGTCCAAAATTAACTTATTTCGTATTTTCCTATTTTTTTGTCTCTAGATAAATTACACTTTCTTTTTTCCGACCCATGTTTACTCAGACATTCATCCACAGTGCTCTCTCTCTCTGTATTTTTTCTCAAAGTTTGGTGTTTCTTGTTCTCTACCCTCCTTATATCGTCATTAATCCCATAAGCTCTCTCTCTCAGTCCCTCTCTCTTTTTATTTGTAGGTTCCCTCAAAGTTTGTTGTTTTTGTTCTCTACCCACCTTTATGTAGACATTCTAGGTTTTGTTGTCTATCGTCTTCCACCCATCTTTACACAGGGATTCATTCCATACTGTTCTCTCTCTCTCTCTCTCTCTCTCTCTCTCTTTGTATTCTCTCTCTAAGTTTGGTCTTTCTGGTTGGCGTGTAGATTCTTTGTGGTGGCAAATGCAATAGTGAGTGTGTATCTTTTGTTATCACTTCCCCTTTCCATCTTCCACATTGTGAGGAGCAAAGCAAAAGGAAGTAGGATGATCTTAATCTTCTTCGACACGGTAATATTTCTATTTCAAGCTTATGCATTCATTCTTCTAAGGGTTTGTATGCTTATGATATCATTTATCTTTGTTACAAAGAGGTCACTACTCGTCTTAGCCATTAGATTTTCAATTGGATGGCTTGAGGTGTGTCTTTAAGTTTGAGATTTTTTTTTTTTTGAACTTTCGAGTCTAGTCACTGACAAGCTTACAACTACCCTTTTTGAACTCTGATGTGCAAAAGTATTTGTGACTTACTTGTACTAAAAATAAATGGTTTCTCTGTAAGCTTTTCCTTCTTTTATTTTTTAAAGAGAACAAGTCTCAAATCACTATTGTCGGTTTAGCTAATAATGATTAAAAAGAAAGTATAAAACCTTTGATATAGATGTCCTTATATACATATGAATTTATATGTATTTGGGGACTGATAACGAAATAAGATAGCTAGAAATTAGACATTAATTACTGCATGACACTAAGTAATTAAAATTACTGTTGACTCATTTTCATCTATCTATTAAAAATTCAACGAATATTGGCTCCAAACAATATAAATTATAAATATATAAGGCCCTACAAAAAAGGTTCCCTTGATGTTCAATTTTGTAATGTTCTAAAGAGCTGCATCGGTTTGTTGTGTTGAATTGCAAAGGGCATGTTGGGACTCATCACAGCTGGGGCATCAGCAGCAGCAGCTATAGTGTATCTTGCACACAAGGGCAATGTTCGAGCCAATTGGCTTGCTATTTGCCAACAATTCAACTCTTTTTGTGAACGTATATCAGGGGCACTCATTGGATCCTTTGTTGCCATGGCCATACTTATTCTCCTCATATTACTCTCAGCTATTGCTATATCGAGGCGTTGAGAGAGAGGGAGGATTATACAGTTCTCATTCATGTATTTGCACAAATAGGGTGAGAACCACTTGTTGGTGTATGTTGTTGTCTTTTGTTGCTTTATATGTATTTGGAAACTGGTTTTTTCCTTTTGTTAATTTGGAGTGGGTCATATTGGGAGGGCATAGTTGCCTTAAAAAGTTCATTGTATGGAATTCATTTGGTTGATTTGTGGTGTTTTAGACATCTCGTGTTGTTTCTTGATTTGGGGAGTTAAAGTTTGGGTGATTGGTGTAATCTCATGTTAATTGTCTATTGTATGAGCATCTGAATATATGCATCTAGTACAAGAACGACACATCACTTCTAGTTGTCAAATATGAAATCGGGATACTTGGGGTGTATAATAAAGTTGTGAGAAAAAATTTCTTGGATTTTGAGCGGGGTCAATAGCACACCCCTAACTGTATATTTTTACATATTACAACTAAAAATGATTGTTTTGAGAATGATTTTCACCTTCTTGTACTAAAGATAAATAGTTTTATTATATATTTTTCTTTTATAGAAAAAGCACAAAAATTGTCAACCCAATCAATTGGACAACATTTTTCAACAAAATTATGTTTATCTTACTCCAGTGATTACAGTAAGAGAAATGATCCTATAGGACCCTCCCCCACTCATGTGTGTAGAACCCCAAAGAACCACCATTAAATTTGGCACGAATCTATAGAAAAGTCAAATCCCACACCTATATGATAACTTTTCTAGAGATCTATACCAATTTTAATGGTGATCCTTTGGGGCCCTACATACATGGGTGGGGGAGGATCCTATAGGATCATTACTCTTATTGTAAATATGGATACTGTTATCAAAGAAAAGTCTTGTGAATACAGAAAAATTGGGACTTCTATGTACCAGCCATGTACCACTACCAAATTAATAATTAACAAAAAATGGAGAAAAATAAAGAACTTAATTAATAGACAACATCACAAATTTCTTTGCATAAGATGAAGTGTATAATTTACACCAATAGAATTACAATACAAAAAACAAAATGAAAAAGAAAAGGAAACAACTAGAAGCAAAAGCCCAAAGTTTAGGCCAATAGAGCAACCAACTCGTCCAGAGATTTTAGTGTCTTCTCATAATACAAGTAGGACTCATACACTCTAGGAGTTCTCACGTATGAATCCAACTGTAAAAAGAAAAGAAAGAAAAAATAAAAAAGAAATTATCACCTGATTAACACAGTTAAAGTTGAATGTACACATGATTAAACCATCACCGGGAAGGGGCTCACCATATATATATATTGATTAATTTTTCAATAGTCTCAAACGAAATTAAGTTTGATTCTATGGCTTCATTGTAAGGGTTTATTACGTTGTTTTAAGAGCTTTAAAGGCAATGGGACTGGTCCATTTAAAATTGGCCTTACAACGGGTCAATCGGTTGAATGGGATTTTAAAAACTTAAACAAAAAATAGAGATACTAGTTAAAAAATATGATATATATTAAAACAGTTGGTTAACTTTTTGGCCGTTTTAGCCGGTCAACACTGCTAAGTGAGACTGGCTAAAGTCAAATGTTTTTTTTTTTTTTGACAAAATCTAGTTTTTACTTTGGGTTAAACCGACCAAAAAACCAGTTGATGGTCTAACTAATCAAACTAGCCAGTCTAGTCATGTCTTAATAACTATGATACAAATACGATGTACGGGTTTGACATGGGGCAGAATTTGCCCAATCCTGATTCGTACCCCAAATTTTGGATCCTATTTGGATCCGTGTGGATCCAAAATTTCGAACAAATTCAGATCGGATCCAGATACAGATGGATCCGATCAAGATTCGAGTCAATTTATATATATATATATATATATATTAATTTTTAAATTTTTTAGAAGACCTAATCCGGATCGGATCCAAATCCCATGCATAGTTTTCGGATCCAAATCCGGCATTGTGGATGCGATAGGATCTGGATTCAAATCCCATGTATACTTTCAGATCCGGTTCGTGATCTGGTTAGATCTCGAGCAGATTTGAAAAATTCTTAGCCCTATTGGTCTTTAAGTGACTATTGTTAGGTTTGATGATAGTCAAAATTATTGTACTTATGTTTTGATAAAAGATTAAGGGTATTATGAAAAAAAAGAAGGGTTTTTTTTGTTGAACAAGAAAGAAACTCAAGGCGATTTCTATAAAGGAAAAAATTTATATAAGGATGCTACCTTATAATGTAGAACTATGAATGCTCCTAAAA